TCAATATGGGTTTCTCAGGGTATATGCCCAGTAGCAGGATCATTGTGTCATACGGTAGCTTTATCCCTAGTTTTTTAAGGACTCTCCATATTGTTCTCTACAGTTACTGTATCAATTTACATTTCCATGAACAGTGCTAGGAGGTTCCCTTTGCTCCACACCCTCTCCAGCATCCACTGTTGATAGATTTTTTTGATGACAGCCATTCTGAGGTGTGAGGTAATATCTCACTGCAGTTTTGACTTGAATTTATCTAATAATGAGTGATGTTGAGCATATTTTTATGTGTTTATTGGTCTTCTCTTTGCCTTCGTTGGAGAAATGTCTGTTTAGGCTGTCTGCCCAATTTTTGATGGGGTGGTTTGTTTTTCTGGTATTGAGTTGTAAGAGCTGCTTTTATATTTTGGAAATGCTTTGTCAGTTGTTTAATTTGCAATTCTTTTCTCCCTTCCTGAGCATTGTCTTTTCACTTTGTTTATAAGCTTCCTTTACTATGCAAAATCTTTTAAGTTTAATTAGGTCCCATGGTTTATTTTTATTTCCATAACTGTAGGAGGTGGTCATAGAGGATCTTGCTGAGATTTATGTCATAGAGTGTTCTGCCTATGTCTTCCTCTAAGAGTTTTATAGTTTCTGGTCTTACATTTAGGTCTTTAATCCATTATGGGTTTCTTTGTGTTTGGTGTTAGGGAGTGTTCTAATTTCATTATTTTACATACAGCTGCCTAGTTTTCCTGGCACCACTTATTGAAGAGTATCTTTGCTTGATTGCATTTTCTTGCCTCCTCTGTCCAAGACAAGGTTTCTGTAGGTACATGGGTTTATCTCTGGGCTTTCTATCTTGTTTCATTGGTCTATATTTTTGCTTTTTTTCTGACAGTATCATACTGTCTTGATGACTACAGCTTTGTAGTATAGTCTGAAGTAAAGAAGGTTGGTTCCTTCAATGTCATTCTTCTTTCTAAAGATTGTTTTGGCTATTGGGGTCTCTTGTGTTTCCATGCAAATTGTGAATTTTTTTGTTCTAGCTTTGTGAAAAATGACATTGGTAATTTGATAGAGATTGCACTGAATTTGCGGATTGTTTCTGGTAATAAAATCATTTTCACAATACTGATTGCTTATACCCATGAAAATGCAATATCTCTCCATCTTTTTATGTCATCCTTGATTTCTTTCATCAGGGTCTTATAGTTTTCTGTATACAAATCTTGCTTCTTTGGTAGGATTATTCCTAGGCATTTGATTCTTTTTGTTGTAATGGTGAATGGGATTTTTCTTAATTTCTCTTTCTGATTTTCCATTGTTTATATATAGGGGATGTAAGTGATTTATGTGTAATGATTTTGTATCCTGCAATTTTACTAAATTCACTAATTAGCTCTAGTAATTTTCTGATAATATATTTAGGGTTTTCTATGTATAGTATCATGTCATCTGCAAACTGAGAGTTTTACTTCTTTTGTAATCTGGATTCCTTACATTTCTTTTTCTTCTTTGACTGCTGTGGCTAAGACTTCTAAAATTATGTTGAGTAACATTGGCAAGAATGGATACCCTTGTCTTGTTCCTGATCTTGGAGGAAATGCTTTCAGATTTTGACCATTGAGAATAATGTTTGCTGTTGGTTTATCATATATGGGCTTTATTATGTGCAGGTAGGTTCCTTCTATGCCCATTTTTTGAAGAGTTTTTGTCATAAATGAGTGCTGAATTTTGTCAAAAGCTTTTTCTGCATTTACTGAGATCATCATATGGTTTTTAATCTTTCAATCTGTTAATACAGTATATCACATTGATTGATTTGCCTATAATGAAGAATCCTTGCATCCCTGGGAAAAACAGAACTTGATTATAGCATATTACCTGTTTAATGTGTTGTTGGACTCTGCCTGCTAGAATTTTGTTGAAGATTTTTGCATTTATGTTCATCAGTGATATTGGCCTGTAATTTTCTTTTTTTGTGATGTCTTTGTCTGGTTTTGATACCAGGTTTTGAAATCATCATAGAATGAGTTTGGCAGTGTTCCTTCCTCTGCAATCTTTTGGAGCAGTTTGAGAAGGATAGGCATTAGCTCTTCTCTAAATGTTGAATAAAATTCACTGGTGAAGTCAGCTGGCCCTGGGGTTTTGGATTTTGGGAAATTTTTTAATCACAGTTTCAATTTCAGTGCTTGTCATTGGTTTGCTCATAATATTTATTTCTTCCTAGTTTAGTCTTGGAAGGTTGAACTTTTCTAAGACTCTGTTCTTGTCTTCAAGGTTGTCCATTTTGTTGGCATATATAATTGCTCATAATATGCTCTTATGATCCTTTGTATCTCTGTGTTATCTGCTGTAACCTCTCCTTTTTCATTTCTAATTGTGTTGATTTGATTCTTCTCCCTTCAAAGAACCAGCTTTTAGTTTTATTAATCTTTATTGTTGTTTCCTTCATTTCTTTTTTCATTTATTTCTGCTCTGATCTTTATGATTTCTTTCCTTCTACTAACTTTGGGGTCTTTTTGTTCTTCTTTTTCTAGTTGTTTTAGCTGTAAAGTTATGCTATCTATATGATGTTTTTCTTGTTTTTTGTATTGCTATACTTTCATCTTAGAACTGTTTTTGCTGCACTCCATAGGTTTTCCATCATTGTGTTTTCATTGTCATTTGTTTCTAAGAATTTTTGCTTTCCCTTTTTATTTCTTCAGTAACCTGTTGGTTATTTATAAACATATTGCTTAATCTCCATGTGTTTGTGTTGTTTAATCTTCATGTGCTTGTGTTTGTTACAGTTTTTTCCCTGTAACTGATATCTAGTTTCATAGCATTGAGGTCAGAAAAGATGCTTGACACAATTTCAATTTTCTTAAATATACTGAGGCTTGACTTGTGACCCAAGATGTGGTCTATCCTAGAGAATGTTCCATGTGCACTTGAGAAGAAAATGTATTCTTCTGCATTTGAATGGAATGTCCTGAAGATATCAATTAGGTTTATCTGATCTAATGTGTAATTTAAGGCTTGTGTTTCCTTATGAATCTTCTGTTTTGATGATCTGTCCATTGGTGTTAAGTGGGGTGTTAAAAGTCCCCTAGTATTATTGTGTTACAGTCAATTTCCCCTTTTATATCTGTTAGTGTTTGCCTTATGTACTGAGGTGCTCGCTCCTATGTTGTGTGCATAAATATTTAAAATTGTTATGTGTTCTTCTTGGATTGATCCCTTGATCTTTATGTAGTGTCTTTCTTTGTCTCTTTTAAGATTCTTTAGCTTAAGGTCTGTTTTGTCTGATATGAGCATTGATGTGCTGTGTTTAGCTGTTCAGTTGTGTCTGAATCTTTGCAACCCAATGGACTGTAGCCTGCCAGGCTCCTCTGCCCATGGGAATTCTCCAGGCAAGAATACTGAAGTGGGATGCCATGCCCTCCTCCAAAGGATCTTCCCAATCCAGGGACTGAACCCAGGTCTCCCGCATTGCGGGCAGAGTTTTTACCATTTGAGCCACCAGAGAAGCCCATGAGAATTGCTACTCTGGCTTATTTCTGATTTCCATGGAATATGGAATATCCATATTGGATATGGAATATCTTTTTTACCCTCTCTCTTTCAGTCTGTATGTGTCTCTAGGTCTGAAGTTGGTTTCCTGTAGAGAGCATATTTATGGGTGTTTTTGTATCCATTCAGTCAGTCTGTGTCTTTTGGGTGGATAATCCATTTACATTTAAAGTAATTATTGATATGGGGCTTACCAGGTGACACTAATTGAAAAGAACCTGCCTGCCAATGCTAGAGATGTAATAGATGCAGGTTTAATCACTGGATTGCAAAGACCCCCTGGAGAAGGGCATGCCAACCCATTCCAGTATTCTTGCCTGGAGAATCCCATGGAGAGAGGGGTCTGGAGGGCTACAGTCCATAGGGTTGCAAAGAGTTGAATACGAATGAAACAACATTTTCTTAATTGTTTTGGGGTTTTGTGGGTTTTTTCCTTGTCTTGTGTTTCCTGCCTATAGAAATCCTTTTAGCATTTGCTGGAAAGCTGGTTTGGTGGTGCTAAATTCTCTTAATTTTTGCTTATCTGTAAATCTTTTGATTTCTCTATCAATTCTGAATGAGATCCTTGCCAGGTAAAGTAATCTTGGTTGTAGATTTTTCCCTTTTGCTACTTTAAATGTATCCTGTCATTCCCTTCTGGCCTGCAGAGTTTCTGCTGAAAGATCAGCTGTCAACAGTATGGGATTTCCCTTGTATGCTACTTGTTGCTTTTCCCTCGCTGCTTTTAATGTTCTTTCTTCATGTTTACTCTTTGTTAGCTTGATTAGTCTGTGTTTTGGTGTATTTCTCCTTGCACTTATCCTGCATGGGTATCTTTACAGAAATTGCTAAAGAAAATTAGTCTACTTCTTGATCCAGAGAAATAACCAGTATTACTGCATATTATTCCTTCCATTGACAACTCAATCCATGGTCACTTGATTAGGTGCAGAAATCAGTTAAAAACTTAAGGCAATCCTCAGGGTTTCCCTTTGTCTCAAAGAAAATGAGATTTAGACAAATGAATACAGTCAGTTGAGGGTTAAGCTAGGATCCCAATTTCCAATTCCTTGGCTGCACATTTGAAGCAAATTTCCCCTCTGCATGAAATATACATCTATATACATTAAATTGAAACCAACAAGGGAACTGACAAGTAAAATATTTAGTACATAATGCAAGGAATATATAAAAATTTTGAAAGTTGAACAAAAGACTAGAGAGAAAAGCTACTGAACTTGGAAAATGAAAATTCTTTATCAAGAGTTTTGTTGCTAAATTAAGCAATCTTTTTTTGTTGTTGTTAGAAAACTAAAATTTAAGAAGCAAATCATATTCAAAGGAAAGGTTGTTCAACCATGGGCTGCTATGTAAATTCCAGACATTCTCTGATCATGATGAATGACTTGGTTAATAAATGGCCAAGTTAATTAAACATGCAATCAAAAAAATAAAGTTCGTTGTTGCTATTGCTACTTTTTTACCTGGTTGCCAAAGAGGTTGAATCCATTAATTGCTTCTAGAGCTGCTTTTGCTAAGCCAACAGAGCTAGAAGAGAAAAGGAAATATTTTATAACTCTGATATATTTGTCTATAAAAGAATAACTGTTATCTGGTGAATATTCACAAGCAAGTATTTTTATTAATATTTATAACAACTTCCCAAGAATAATGTCTAATATGTCTAATGACTTCAGCCTGACATTTCACTATGTTAATTTTTCTTCCTTATGTTAGTGATCTCCAGGGGAAAATATTTCTAAGTTCACCAAGATTTAGACAAATGGTCATACTATTGATGGGAGTAGTCTTAATTCCAGTATCACTTATATTCACTAACTCAAGGGAACAAAATGATTAAGTTTAGAAGAAAGTGTAGTATGATGATATTTGCATGGTAATACCAGGCTGGGCATCACCATTCAGATCAATGAATAGAGCTTTTCTCATGTCAATTCTGAGCCCTAGAAAAGATTTTGCATATCATACACTTGCCACAGAGTAGTGTTTAATATACCCATTCAAATACTCTTTGTGTAAGGTCCAATGAAATGGCATTATTTTATGCTCACAGATCAAAGGATCATCATACCTCTGATTTTTTGCTATATTCTTCTCTTTGTAATAAAATGTATACTCCTTTGGCCTCTCAGATATCTCATATAATAGTGCTGAAAAATGGGAAGACCCAAATTTCATTACAAATATGAAACTATTATCTTATAAATACCAACCTTTAAATACTTTAGATCTAATATCTAGTTTACTTATTGCAATTTTTTGTCTTTTCCTCAAAGCAACTGCATATTCCATTAATCATTTAAAATTAATGATCTGTCATCATTTCTCTAAAGCAGCAATTATTAAAGTGTGGTTCTCAGAGCAGCAGCATTACCTGGAAGCTTGCCAATTCTCACTGCTTTCTGGGAATGGGGTGTTGACAAGCCCTCCAGGTGCTTGAATGCACTTTAAATCTGAGAACCACTATCCTAAGCTATTCATCTTATCACGATCTACATTTTCTATGGGCTGTTTACATGAAATGTTCTCAAGTAAGCATTAATTTTACTATAGAATAGTAACTAGTTGGGAAACATTTAAAAATACATGAATGGGAAGGAATACAGCCAATGTTTTATAACTTTAAATGAAACAGAACCTTTAAAAATTGTGAATTTAAAAATTGTGTTGCATACCTAATGCTTACATAATATTGTACACCAACTATACTTCAATTTTTAAAAAGGATAATTAATCTATGGAGATAGTGATCAGGTGGATGGTACAGTGAAGAAAACAAAAAAACTATAATTCAATGTCCTACCTAATTGACACACCTAAGAAAATTTTGACACATTAACTCTCAGGGGCCTACTTTAAGTATTAAAATACCTTCGAATTGATAAAGCAATACAGTTTATAGCAATAAAGTGAAATCCAGAAACTCAAACATGAGCTAAGGCAAAGAACAGATTTTTTTGTTTTTATTACATAAGTTAAAAGTACAAAGGTATGTGACTTAGACTACAGGATTTTATCCACAGGTTATATAATCACAGACACAGAAAATCCTTCAGCTCAGTTCGGTCACTCAGTTGTGCCTGACTCTTGGCAACCCCATGGACTGCAGCACACCAGGCTTCCCTGTCCATCACCAATTCATGGAGCTTACTCAAACTCATGTCCATTGAGTCTGTGATGCCATCCAACCATTTCATCCTCTGTCGTCCCCTTCTCCCACCTTCAAACTTTCCCAGCATCAGGGTCTTTTCAAATGAGTCAGTTCTTTTGCATCAGGTGGCCAAAGTATTGGAGTTTCAACTTCAACATCAGTCCTTCCAATGAATATTCAGGACTGATTTCCTTTAGGAAGGACTGGTTGGATCTCCTTGCTGTCCAAGGGACTCTCAAGAGTCTTCTCCAACACCACAGTTCAAAAGCATCAATTCTCCAGTGCTCAGCTTTCTTTATAGTCCAACAATCACATCCATACAAGACTACTGGAAAAACCATAGCTTTGACTAGATGGACCTTTGTTGGCAAAGTAAAGACTCTGCTTTGTAGTATGCTGTCTAGGTTGTTCATAACTTTTCTTCCAAGGAGCAAGCATCTTTTAATTTCATGGCTGCAGTCAAAATCTGCAGTGATTTGGGAGCCCAAAAATATAAAGTCTCTCACTGTTTCCTCATCTATTTGCCATGAAGTGATGGGACTGGATGCCATGATCTTAGTTTTTTGAATGTTGAGTTTTAAGCCAACTTTTTCACTTTTCTTTTTCACTTTAATCAAGAGGCTCTTTAGTTCTTCTTCGCTTTCTGCCATAAGGGTAGTGTCATCTGCATATCTGAGGTTATTGATATTTCTCCTGGCAATCTTGATTCCAGCATGTGCTTCATCCAGTCCAGCATTTTTCATTATGTACTCTGCATGTAAGTTAACTAAGCGGGGTGACAATATACAGCCTTGACTTACTCCTTTTCCTATTTGGAACCAGTCTGTTGTTCCATGTCCAGTTCTAACTGTTGCTTCTTGATGTGCACACAGATTTCTCAGGAGGCAGGTCAGGTGGACTGGTATTCCCTCTCTTGAAGAATTTTCCAGAGTCCTTAAGAATCAACAAAAATGTACTATGTGGATGATACCACTCTAATGGCAGAAAGCAAAGAGGAACTAAAGAAACTCTTGATGGGTGAAGGAGGAGAGTGAAAAAGCCAGCTTAAAACTTGGTATTAAAAAAACTAAGTTCATGGCCTCCAGTCTCACCACTTCATGGCAAATAGAAGGGAGAAAGGTAGAAGAAGTGACAGATTTCCTCTTCTTGGGCTCTAAAATCACTGTGTGTGATAACTGCAGCTATGAAATTAGAAGATAATTACTTTTTGACAAGAAAGCTATGACAAAACTAGACAGTGTGTTGGAAGCAAAAAGGTCCACACAGTCAAGGCTATGGTCTTTCCAGTAGGCATGTATGGATATGAGAGCTACACCGGTAAGAAGGCTGACTGCCAAAGAACTGAACTGTGCTGCTGGAGAAGACTCTTGAAAGTCCCCTGGACAGCAAGGAGATCAAACCATTTGGTCTTAAACGAAACCAACACTGAATACTCATTAGAAAGATTGATACTGAAGCTCCAGTACTTTGGCCATCTGATGCGAATGGTCAGTTCATTGGAAAGACCATGATGCTGGGAAAGGTTGAAGGCAGAAGGAGAAAACAGCAACAGAGGATGAGATGGTTGGATGGCATCACCAATTCAATGGACATGAACTTAGGCAAACTCCAAGAGATGGTGAGGGACAGAAAGTCTTGCATGCTGTAGTCCCTGGGGTCGAGAAGAGTCGGACATGACTTGGAGACTAAGCAACAACAAGGTCCCAGGAGACAAATTCACTATCAAAATGAATTTTATTTCTACACACTAGCCATAGACACTTGGAAATTTAACATTAAAAATAAGTATCACTATAACATGAAATAACTCAAAATATTTTAGCATAAATTCAACAAAATATGTGCAAGACCTGAACACTGAAAAGCAGTTCTGAAAAAATTAAAAAGACCTAAACAAATAAAGAGATGTCCCACATTCATGAATTGGATAACTGAAGATCATTAAAGTATCAGTTATCTTCAAAATGATCTATTGATTCAATGCAATCACAATCAAGTATCAACAGGCATTTTTTGTAAAAACTGACTAGCTAATTCTAAAATAAATGTGAAAATGTCCTGGGACAGTAGAAAGGTTTTCTTTAAAGGAGAGAAAATCTGAAGGACTACTTCAGAAGTAGAAGAGCCCCATGATGATGCCAATAAAAGAAAACATTTCTGAAAAAATAAGAACAATCTGTGTAGAGCAGAATAGTTTTTCTTGGACTTAAATAAAGCTAGTTATTCCTTCAGAAAAAATGTTGAAGAACAATTTGATTTCACAATTTAGCATAAAGCAACAATTACCAGTGCAATATAGTACAGATCAGGGCAGACATGTAAATCAATAAGACAGTCTAGAAATAGACCATATATACATGATCAAACAGCCAGGTTAAGTCAATGCGGAAAGAATAGCCTTTAATGGTACTGGAATAGTGAAGTATCTACATGGGGAAAAAAATCTCAATCTTTGCTTCATACTACACAAAAGTAATTTGAAATAGATCACAGACTTAAATGTAAAAGCTAAAACTAGAAATCTTTTAGAATAAAACCTAGGAAAAAACTCTTCATAATTTTGAAGTGGAAAAAATCTCTAGGACACAATGAAGAAATAATCATAAAAATTTTGATAAATTAGACTTCATCAGAATTAATATCTGATCTTCAAAACATGCCATTAATAAATGGCATGCCATTTATTACATGCCATAATAAACATGCCATTAATAAAATTAAAAGGCAAGTTGAACTCTGTAAAAAAAATTTGTAAAAAAAGAAAAAACGCATATCTCACAAAAGAATCTAGAATATATAAAGAACTTTAACAACTCAGTAAGAATACAAACAACCCATTTTAAAAATGAATCGCTTCTCGGCCTTTTGGCTAAGATCAAGTGTAGTATCTGTTCTTATCAGTTTAATATCTGATACATCCTCTATCCGAGGACAATATATTAAATGGATTTTTGGGATTAGGAGTTGGAATAGGAGCTTGCTCCGTCCACTCCACGCATTGACCTGGTATTGCAGTACTTCCAGGAACGGTGCACCCCCCTTCAGGGGGAATAAAAAAAAAAAAAATGAGAAAGAGATTTTAACAGACACTTCAAAATGCAGATATATGAAAGTAAACAGTACTTGAAAAGTTGTTTAATAAAATTAGTCAACAGAAAATTAAAATTAAAATTACCACATACTCATAAGAATAATTTAAAAAATACTAACAATACCAAGTATAGACAAAGATGTGGAGCAATTGAAGTTTCTGCCGTTTGATGGCAGGTATGAACGGTAGGAATGAAAAATGGTAAATTCCTTTCAAAAAACAGTTTGGCAGTTTCTTAAAATGTTAAAACACTTATTATATAATTCAGGAATTCTACTCTTATGT